TAAACAGAGCCAATAAGGAACTCAGAATACATAGAGATATTCAGTCAGTTTGCATTTGTAATCTGTGCAATGATTATGATTTAGGACACATCTAATAAAAAAAGATTTTCGTTGTTAATTACAGTGTGCTACAGATAAAGTAGAGAAAGATAATTCATTACTATAATGCCATTTCCAAGCAGCAACCAAAATATTTATGTACTAGATCAGAGCTCCTTTAAGTCTCATTTTGTTTTTAAGTAGACAATTGCATGTATCAGCTATTCCTTTGTTCACTGAAGCAATCTCCAGGCCTACATCAGAGGATGCCAGCTTTTGCTGCTTTCTTTGAACTCTGAGAAGTATACATTTAGTTATCTTATGCTGCTCTGGATCTCACATGAGAGGAGAAGGAGACCAATATTTCATCACTATCCCTCTTTCTGGAGGTACTTTAACTAATGAAATTGTGGTTCTAATTATTTTGCTAAATCTACTTTGTCTTCTTACCTGTCCCTTAAATTACCTTTTATTTACAGCATTTAACCAAGAGTTTAAGGACTCATAAACAAATGGAAATGTGTTTATGTGAGCATTAAGTAAACCTTAACTGCCTGTTTTTGTTGCAATTCTTTCCACTATAAAGTATGAATAACTCCACTGAGTTGACAGAGTTATGCTGCTATAAAATGACATGTGAAGAATCAGTAATGCCAGTGGACTTTGAATTCTCTGTTTGTGACATCCTTCAGTCACAAGAGCAAAGCAGATACTGAAGTCCTAAGGTCTCATGACAGAATTCGTGCTGGATCTGTGTTCTGGCTCTGTCCTCTCATTATCTACACATGTTGCAAATCACTACAGCAGTCCTTACCAGAATATAATTACTAACAACCTTATAATTCTGTGTTCATTTGAGATTTTTTGTAAGTGTGTACGTTAGTAAACTAGATAACAGTCAATTCCCAAAGACACTGGTATTTCTGTGATGCTCTGAAAAGTTTGAAACACGTCAAAAAAGGAGCTAGTTCATGTTCACTAAGAAGGCAAGGGGGCTGTTATTTCCACCAGGACCATTATTCCTTACAAATAAGAAAGAAAGTGAGTAGAAAAAGGATGATAATTATAAAAATTATTGTTTGAAAGTGAAGACTTGTCCAAATTAGAGTTCATAACTGCCTCCTGCAGTGAGATTGGAAGCTATTCAACACCTAAGAAAATACTTGCCAGAGAAAGCAAAATTGAGATTTAAAACAATTATGTCTTTATAAGCAATGGACAAAGGGCTACAGAAGCCTATGAATTCAAGAAGTATTAATGTAAGAAATGGAATGGTCACACTTTTAGGTTGTAAATGTAACAATTACTAACATCTGTATTCTACTGTTTGCAAAAAACCCCATGGAAATGGATTTTCTTCCACTCAGAAAGGATAGTGCTTCAGATTGAAGTTTAAATGTATTTAAGGTTTATATATTTCTAAAACAACTGAAACAGATTTATATAAACCCTCAGATAACATTATATTCCCTACAATTTACTTTAAGACAGAGGAACTTTTTATTCAAAGGATCTTGAGGCAGACCAATGTCTTAGGTAAGGTCAGTGTTGTAAAGGAACACAGTTATGGCTTATCACTATGAATGTAGTTAAGTCTTCCTAAACATTATGAAGATTATACTAAGTAAAATGTTATATAATACAAAACAATACAATAAATACTATTTATTGTCACAGTGATAATTGCTAACAATAGCTACTCTCTCTGCACAGGAACTGAGTGTCTGCAGGTGTCTCTGCCTGCTATAAGAGAGGGAACAGTTAGCTTTTCAGTAGTGACCACTGCACATTTCCATCCTCAATGTACTTCCTATAGCCAGGTAGCTGTTTTATAAGTTAGCTGCTTCAGCTCATGTCTGGATCCTTTATTCTACAGCACCTGCAAGCTGATAGTCTCAGCAGCACTCAGTGGTGCTACATATAGCTTATAGGCTCAGCACTTCTTAATCAGGCCTTGCACACATCCCTCTCTACAAAGCTGAAAAAGAAATTGGCATGGAATATTGCTCTTTATTTGATAGTGTCTCCACCTGTGTTGCAATAATTGGCAAGAGATCAGCTGACAGTGACTACTGAGCTGCATTTTATCCTTCTCCCTATTAATAGATCTGTACCTGCTTAATTTCTTCTTGGCCACTACAGTGCTCATTTAAGAATTGACTGACACGATGCAGAACAAATACTTATTTCCAACCAACCTTGCAGGGCTTTTTGAGCACCAAAGATCAACTCCCTATCCTGAGACAGGAGGCCCAGCAGATGGTCTGTCATTTGGAATGATAGAGGACATTATCACTGTTATGAGGGCTTTGTCCCAACCCAGCAAAGAATACAAGGATTTGTTTCTCTAACAATATACCTAACGTGACCACGTTCTGCTGTCTGATGTCTGTCTGTTTTCTGAGTCATGTCCTCCAAGACTATTGAATAAAACTTAAGATCTTTGTCATTCTTTCCATTGTCTTGAGCACAGGTCTTCTACAGAATAAACCCCAAGGTCAGCAGTTCCATTTCTCACACTCAATCAGAAGCATAAAGTTCATCTGTGCATGAGACAGGGTTTCAGGCCATAGAACTAAGCAATGTAAATCTCACTATCTTAAACTCTGAGGGCACACCAAGTTTTTAAACATTTATTTTGCCATGAACATACATAACATGTACACTGAAGGAAGTGAAACTCAAGCAAATCTCTGTCAAAATAAACCAGGCCATGCATAATCGATTCTCTCACTGAAGAAAGAGAGTAAGGAAACGGTTTAACTTGAATGTCTGCAGATACCTCAGTGATGATGGTATTCAGAAAACATGACAGAGTGATTGGAGTAATACAGAGAGTTAAATAGCTATTGCAAGGTGGTAGAGCTTCTTGGTTTTCATGTAGCTACATTGATTTTAATATTTGAAGATCTGAGCTCTAACCTTCAATAGCAGTTGATAAACTGGCAGGTTCTACAGAAATAAGCTTTAAAGATGACTGACATAAACAAGAGCAGCTGGGCAAAAGGAGCTCTATACTGTACATACAGGGTACACTGTTCTCTAAGGCAAGTATCAAATAAAGCGTACAAGAGAAAAACATGCTAGCTCAGCACTTTTATAAATAGAGAACTACATTCCTCCTCTCACTGTGGTTACCACTGTGTTCAGAAGATAATGACTCTTTGGCCCACCCCCCTCCTCTGACCGTACCATTAACTCCAGCTGACTGGGGTGACTGACAAACTGCATAACATGATATTCAAAGAGATTGTATTAAAAATACAGTGCCATTCTGCACAACAAATGGTTTCCACTTGGAATCAGTTAATGGAGAAATATTTTGGCTACTTTTGCTAAACGGGTTTGCTTTGCTTGCAAGGTCGTTCAGAATAAGCTCCCTGAACTTTGAACTGTGTCTGCTAGATGAGATAAACAAGACCAGTATAAATACCACAGCCCTCTTCTCCACACTGTTTTCTTCTGCAGCAGAGTTAAGAAGAGCTGCCAAGGAGCCAGGGGGAGGAAAGGGTAAGTGTGCTGGTTTTGCTGTGAAAGAGCTTCATGACTTAAGATTTGGCAGAGTGTCTGCTTCTTTCCTTGGCTGAAAAGGCTGACTGTGGAAATTTCCGTTGGAAACCAAAGAGAAAGTTGAAATGCAAAGAGACGTATAATTCACAACGTAGCTCTCGTCTAGATCACAGGGCGAGTCGGCTGCTGCTGGGCGCTCTACCACAGGGCTGCAGAAGTCTATAAAGGCATAGAAAGATCTCACGATGTCACAGGAGTTTCATGTTTTTATAATGATACAAAGGTGGGCAGCTTTCCAGATGTGTGGAAAGATAAAAAGAAAAAAAAGCCCTATTGATATTTGTTGGACCATAGTTTAATCTGCAAAGTGCTGTACCTAAAGTGCTTTTGGTAGAACTGCAGAAAAGAAACATGGGGGACAGAGAGATTTCACAAATGTTGTTGGCTGTGCAGCAGCTGGCTTTTGTTTTAAAAGATGATTATTAAAATGTTGGAGTTTTTAAAATGTGACAAGGTTGATCAAACGTGTTATTTATCAGAACTCAGTGTTTTTGAGATATCCAGACTTGGATGCAATGGTAATATTATGCAATTCTACAACCTGGGACATATGGGGAAGCAGTCTTATAATTTCATATATTTCTCAATAATTAGTATTTCTTGAACTTATTAAGCCAAAATTATTATGTTAATGGAATAAAAGAAAAATATAATTACAGAATTTCACGTATGCCTTGATTTTCATCAACATTAAATGGATATAGCGTGGGTAGGAGATTCTGTAAGATCTGAGGAATTCCAAAACTCAGTTCTCATTTCCTGTTTCTGCAAAATTATTTCTAGTGCCTGTGCTCTTAGGAGATTTTTCTCACCAGGATCCAAATGCTACAGACTGAGTTTTAAAAATTTTAAATATTTTTAAAAAATTTCTCACAGGTTGTATAATGCTTGTTGTGTACCAAAATACATTGCTGGTGCAAGTACTTTTAAGTCAGTGGAATTACTCAGGAATCTAGGACGAACTGGTCTAGATTCTTACTGCTGTAAACTGACTCTGCACAGCTGGTAAACACAAGAAATGGCCACTTTAAAATCACTGAAGTGTTAAAAAACAGTCAAGAAGAAATTACAGAGAGGAAGGAGCAACATAGTCTGATTAGTAGCATTAGAAGAAAGCCCGGTTATTCTGAACACTTACTTTTCAGCTGTTTACATATAAAAACGAAAGTATCAAAAAATGTCTCCCTGTTTATTATAGGGGAACTCAACTGCGAAGTGAAAGAAGGCAGTAAACAAAGTAGCTCAAATTTATTCTTACTGCTTTTGTTTGTTTTTAAACTGAATAGAGCTGATATTCTGCTGTGTTTTGTTACTCCGGATTTTTAGAGTCTGAACTTAGTTTAAGCATTGATCTCATTCTATTTACTTTTTCTCTTTTCAGATAAAGCCCAGCCATGTGGGCAGGGCTGGGGCTAGTTCTGGCTCTCTGTCTCCTCCCAGGAGGAGGGACAGAGAGCCAGTACTGCGTGGAGCCCCCGGAATGGCATATTGGGGAGGAAAACCCCATGCTGAACTCTAGGGGCTCAGTGACAGTGGTGGCTCTCCTGCAAGCAAGCTGATACTTGTGCTTGCTGCAGGCTTCCAGGTAAGCATAAATCTCTCAGTTTTTGTTAAAACATCATTGGTGAAATTTTTTACGTCACCTGAGGATAATGTATGTGCCCAACTACAGATGCACTCACTGAACTCTAGCTTCCTTAAATGCTGCCACCACAGCTGGCATGTGTGACCCAGAGACCGGGTTAACTCTCAGCAGGAGCAGTCTGTGCCAGTGGCTCAGATTATTTATCTCTTGCCTTAGCCTTGACTGACAAATCATCTTCTCCAGGTTGTATTTACAATAATTCAGGTATGACCAACTTGACATTAATGAAAGCCCAGCAGAAACAGTTTCCTGAGACTATGCTTCCATTAGCAACAGATGATTAATATAGGAAAGATGCTAAAGCTGAGAAATATTCCTATTTCTCTGACGTGGCTGGAATGCCTGAAACAGAGAGATACATGATCACTCATTTCTTACATAAGATCTGTGGGAGAAAAGGCAAATCAGACTTCTGCTTTCAATACGCTTTCCCAGCCCCTGTTCAGGAGTCCTAGATATATATAAAAAAAAAAATCTAGAAGACTGGCTTTTTGAAAAAAAAAATAAAAATATAGCACTCAAGGGAATCATCAGCATTATATTTTCATACAAGACCAAGGACATCGGTGCTCTGGTTTCTAGAACCTACTTTCATGCAAATAATTAGGTATCATAATAGTAACAGCAGCAAGAAAATAATTTCAAGCTGGTCCAAACAGGAGTTGTGTACAGCCTTAATCTTGGATTCATTTAGATATTATGAAATCACTTTGGCTTAAAGTGCATAGTACCAGTTTCAGAACTTGATTTTAATCATTGTAATAACATCTTGCTTTCTCCCTCTAGGCTACGTAACTTTGTATTATAATAGTCTTCACAAGTTTTTTAGGAAGCAGATTTGAAAAAGTGGTGGTAGATCTCTGACACCATCAAAGCCCAAAGTGGGCTTTGTAGTTGGCTTTCAAGGTAGTTGAGTTTCATTCTGTACATTGCAGAAAGGTTTAAAGAATCAAGGTCCTGAATATTTTCTGGAAGAGAAAACCAAAAAGTTTTCTACAGCAATTCAACAGCAAGGATACAAATGAAAAAGGAAAAAACCCACATCATACAGGAAGAAGGCAGCTTTCTCTGATGCAAAGCAAAGAAAGACTTCTGTGACGGGATGCCAGAGGGAAAGTGTACTAACTGCCCGACAGGTCATGCACGCATTCTGTAGCCATCCTTTTGACCCAGTTGCTGTAATACCCCTTTTCTGATTATTGCAGAAAATAGCCATGTCAAGATGAGTGGGGAGCTATCAGCCTTTTAGTGCAGGTTTGCTTTCTTGATTATTCCTGCAAAAAAATGGTATGCACTTTTTAACCACCTAAGTGACCAAAGCTTCAGAATTTAAATAAAGACATCAGATGAACTAGCCATGCTAGGCCTTGAAGAGCATGAAAGAATGGAAATGAAAATAGCACTGAACTCCGAAAACAGATGTCTGCTTTCTGTTTACAAGGAGAGGACCCATGGCACAGTAGCTATTGTAGAGTCTGGTTTGGTGACAGCATAGTAGATAGTCATGGCAAATGCCAAGTCTGTTTTGATAGTGTTAGATTGTTGACATTGAAACTGGGAGAAGATAACATTCACTGTAATAAAAGCAAGAGAGAGCAAATTAACTTTTGTTGAATGTGGGAAATCTCATGATTCTCTAATCATTATTGTCTTTCTTCTTTACATTCTCCACTAGATTGGAGGACCTGCGAGTAAAGTTAGAGAATGAAGGACTCGTCAATATCTCATATGTGGTTGTCAACCATCAGGGAACATATTCCCGGAGGAAGATTCACCTCCTGCAAGAAAGTGTTTCAGACTACATTACTGTCTACCAGCAAGATGAACAGCAAGCTGACGTCTGGTCTACCTTAAATGGAAACAAAGATGATTTTCTCATCTATGACAGGTCTGTGGTTAAAGCAGTAACATAGGAAAATATTTGCATATATATGGAGTAATGCTTTGTAAATCTCTATACTATGTCATTGATGTGTAAATAACCCAATTACACTAAGTAAAGCACTTGGATTTACTAGAAGAAGGAAGCTGCAAAAGAAAAGTATACTTTTAAGTGAGTTTGGGATAAGTACTTTTTTTTTCTTATATTAATATAACTGAGTGTAGAATGTAACAGCATGATTCTTTTCTTATACTGTTTTTTTTTCGGACAACTTCATAATATCCATCCACGTGAAAGCAGAATCAAATGAGAAAAGCTCTCTAAGTTCTCATGAACGCATTTTGACTGGAGCTGTTGAAAATGTCATGTAGCCATATGGAAAAACTAGTGTATAAGTGAAACCTAAAACTTTGGAAAAAGTAGCTTTTTGATCATAAGATTCTGGGACAAGTATCTTTTGGCAGAATCAGTAATAGCTCCTTAACTAAAATCCTGATTTTTTTAGTTTTGATGTGATGGAAATTATTCAACAGGGCCTGAACTCCTAACATGTCCATCCTCACTGTTTTGTTGCTGTAATGAACATTCTCAGTTCATACTGAAGAATAAAATAAGTTTAATGAAGAATTAGAAAGTTACTTTTTTTTTTGGTAATGTGATGAAATTGAATGAATTAGCTAAATTGGGCTTGTGGGATGAAACTAGCACTTTTAGAAGGCGATTGCATATTACAGCAGCAAATACGCCTAAGTATGGAAGGTTGTCTGTCATATGACAGACAAACAGAGCAAGGCTGTCAGCCCAGAGCTGAAGCCTGGCCCATAGCGTTTGAAAGGTTGAACAGTTGTGTGCTGCCAACATGTAGGATATACCTGCTCTGTGAATTTGATTTGGCACTAGTTCAGCCCTGATCTCCATTATGGTTCTAGGAATTCTTTGTCCTCATATTGTTACTGCCTGTCAGTGGGGCAACAGATGCGCACTGCACTGTGTAGGGAGCTCAGGCTGGAGTACCATGTGCTGATCCTGCAAGTGGGTTAACTAACAAGGTGATGCCATGTGCAAATTCTACATTTGCTCCAACTTCTTTGTATACCTGTTGTGTATTCGGGTGCATACCTGAACACTCAAGTACAAAGATGGGGCAAACAGGCACCATAAAAATCCCCTCGTGCACAGTAAATCGGTCATGCAGGTGCGCCACAATGCACGTTCCAATCAAAACACCTATTACGTTGCATAAAAATGTTCTTCCTAAAGGTGCAGCAACCATCTGGCCATTTGTACTACCGTGCAAATAGCCCTTCTCATTGACAAGATAGGTTTCTAATGAGTGTACTTTGCTAGTCCAAAAGCTACTGAAGTACAGATTTCTGCCAGCTGAGGTGTTAACATTAGCCAGAAATCATGCTTGGCACTTCTGACTGATGTAGTTGAGTGGGTAAACATTTCTAAGGCAGATACTGGTTTTGCCTGTAAACTCCTTGAACAGAAACATCTCCATGGAACTGCACAGTGTGTGGGGGCTGACATGGGTGAAACAAGGTATGATAAGAAGACTTATTTAATTTTAGATGTATGTTTATGCATGTGTAACCAAAGAGTTCTTTCTCTCCTTAGATGTGGCCGTCTAGTGTATCACCTGGGTCTGCCCTACTCCTTCCTCTCTTTCCAATATGTAGAAGAAGCTATTAAGATTGCATACTGCGAAAACAAGTGTGGAAACTGCTCTTACACGGTACTTTCTTGTTTCATTCTACATGTAATATGAAAGGAAACCAGATATGACTGGTACTTAAAAAAATATTTCAGTGTGATTAATCCAAAACCACATGATGTAGAATTTATGCATTTCATGTGTCTTGACAGAAAGCTTTTAAATATTTTTTCAAGGTGAATTGCATCTAATTTATAATAGACTAATTATCTGAATTCCTGACATTTTAGAAATGCAAATATTTTTCAGAACTCTAAATGCAATCTTGGAGACTAACTGTGTTTCTGGAGTTGCATCTGGCTAGTGAGCAAATAGGTGCTCTAATTTTGGGGGACAGATAGTAATTATTTTTAAAGCCTAGGAAGGAAGTCTGAGCTGGTTTGTGTTACAGTTCCTTTTAGTTTATATTTAAACGTAGTGTACAATAGTTACTTTTTAAAAGTGTTAGTATGAGGTGACAAATAATTGTTACCTTTGCAAAAGAAGGGTAGCTTTGTTTTACATCAAAATGCAGATTAGAACTACTATAAGGATTATCAAGAACAGTACATACATAGTCAAGGAAGTTCAATGAGAAGAATAATTTTTGATCCCATCCTTAAGTTTTCCAGCTACATGTAGGCCTCAGGCAGATCAGATGTGAGATCCTAGAAAAATAATACTTTTTATTAGCAGTTACTTGAATTACATTTCCTAGAAGTCTACATTAAAGGCCTTGTCCAGTTCAAGGTTCTTGATACATTCATACCTTTCTTCAATGAAGTAGCAGAAATAATTTAAAATCAGGGGTCAAGTTCTGCAAAAATGGTAAGGTAATTAATATTTTACAACAGGCTTAATTAAATTTAATGCCTTGTATATAATGTAAGCTTCTCTTTTGCAGGAACCTGATACTGATGACGTATGTGAAAACATCACTAAAAAAGCAGCTGAAGAGCTAGCAGAGATAGAACCCAAACCAACTGGTCAACATTCACATCACCACAACCTGCATAGACATAGACACCACCACCACCACCATCATCGTGAGGGCAGTTATCATTCCAAAAATGAGAACCATCAGACTCCTTCTGAAACTCGAAGGCATCATTATCATAGTGGTCGTCATCATAGAGTTTTTGGCCATAGCAGACATAGTCAGGCAGGTAGTCATGAATGGGCAGACACTGTTCCTCCAGGAGAAATTGTGGAAATTACCCAAGATAAAAAGTTGTGAAAAAAAGGGAAAACCAGTTGTAAAAACCAGTTAACTTGAAATTGGCAGACAGCATCAGACTCAAATTCTAGTACCTGATGCTGTCATTGTCGACACCTTTTGTTTGAAGAGCTAGGAAATTCTGTCACTTGACAGTGTCGTGGAGCACTTCCAAATTCATGCAGGTGACATAGCCAGCTGTTAGCAGAGGACATCACTGAGTCTTGACAGTGACGTCTGCTCCCTGCTGCATGACAGTCATCAGCAGCAGGAGCAAGTGCAACCAGTGACACCTGACAGTGACAGGAAGAGGCAAGAAACTGAGCCTGAAAAACAAACTAAGCACCTTAAAAATGCAAGGGATTCCTACTGTGTTAATTCATATAGTTGTGAGAGTGAAAAAATTAACAGAGTGTTTTCATTGCCCCCAGTTAAAAATTACACCAAGACAGGCGTGTAGAGTTAAATATTGCAAAAAAAGTAGACTTTTAGAGCAGTGGTCTTTGAATTATACAATGCCTGTCAAATTCCATCAGCTACGAGTTTCATAATTTAAAGGAATGTAATTGACCCATAGTTTGTTTTTCAGTTGCACTGGGAAGGTGTCTGCATTCTTGGTTAACCTGTCTGTCTTGTTTCTCTTCTAAAATTCTGCTTGCATTTGTGAGGACAGGAGCATAAACTATGACCTAGGGGCTCCTGTCTGATGTTTTGCAATCAAGAATAGAGGAAAGCCAAAACAGATATTTTAATTATTTTTTATTCAGAAGATAGAATACATTCAAAAGTTGGTTTGGTTTGGTTTTGTTGTTTTTTTTTTCTTAACCTGGGGATAAAAATTACTTGCAAGAAAAGCTTACTCCTAGGCAATGTGCCAAAACAACTTTTTACACGTAGTAATTGCATTATTTTAAAGCAACAGATGTATATGCTTAATTTTGTAGCGTAGATATGGTATCAGGGTCCATTAATACATGCTAATACAGCTTGTAAAATCCCACTAAATCAGTAAGATTATGCCTAAAGTGACAAGCAGTGTTATCAACTCTATGTGAAATCAGTGGGCAGAAAAAGAAAAATCTCAGTTTAATTGTTATCTTTGTTTCTAACACTGGTGTATTTCATAAATCTGTATTAATTAGCACGGTAATAAGTCACTTAAACTTGTATAACTTCTCTGTCTGTCGCTTAGCATTCCTATCCTTTGCTTAACTGAGTTGAAATAAAAATATAGCTGTTCAAAGGATTCCAGGATGAAGAAGAGAATATTCAAGAAAACTGCTTTGAAAGCATTCACCATAATTAATGATGGTTTAATAGGGAAATTATTACTCCTACGAAACCTGAATCTTCTTATTGTGAATGCTGATTAGCAAGAAAGTAGCTCTGAATGTACACAGAATGCATGCCTTTGGAATATTTGAGAAGAGCATTTTAAATAAAAACGTGACGTATTTCTTTGTATCTTGTTTTTACTTTCAGGGACACAGTTTGAAATAGACTGTTTCTCATTGTATGTACTACTGAAATACTTTATGTAAATTACTCAAAATCGCCTCCGTTTGAAGTGCAGATCTTGGCCTTTTTCAAGACGTTGCTCTAAGTCTCTTATGGTGTTTCGGAGAATTTCAATTTCCTTATTTTTCTCTTCCTGGAGATGCTGCAGCTTCTGTAAAAGTCCAAGAAAAGGCTTCATCGTTAAACGTCACACAAAATAATATAACACTACAATATGCTATTACTAATGAGAAATATTTTAATAAGAATACTTTTCTCAGCATTATGTATCACAAAATTACAAAGATGACTGCCAGAATTCTTTTTTTGTGACATCCCAAAGTTTCAAGCCTACAAAACAAATAATGCATGTATATAATTTATATCACAGTCATTTTTTAGCTCTGTCTTAAGTTCCCAAGTTAACAATTCACATGCAGGCTTTTGCTGTTGAGCTCCAGCTATATCAACATCAGTGGAAAAAGACATGAAATTAGTTGTCTGGAGGCAGGAGGGATCTGTGAGACAGCAAGTAAGAGACAGGAAACTCCCCTCCCCGTATCCCCAGAGTTTTGTGGCAGAACACGGTAAAACGTCAGGAAACTGCTGTTTGAAACAGGCTGTAGCGGTTTTTAGCATGTGCACACTACAAGCTGTTAAAGCACATACCCTTCGATAGATACTTTGTGGTAAACCAGAAGCATCTGAAAATGATTTTGTTGTTGTGTTCTGGGCTCTTGCTAACTTAGCATTGAACTGAAAGAATCAGGAAAAGACAAAACATTAAGAACCAACAGGGGAAAAAAAAGTATGCTAAATAATACAAGAATGATTTTTATTTTTTTTTAAAAATTGGATTTTGTACCTAAAAGTACAAAGTACCTAAAAGCAGTATAGCAAATATATGAAGTATTTAATCCTAGGATAATGAAGCTACTTAAGTTTATTTTTAAAAGAATGCAATTCTAAGTTATGTTTCTTAAAAAAAACCCCTCAAAATATTGCAAAAAGTAAACAGTACAAATACGACAAAGTAAATACATTTACATAAAAAGATGACTACCATAAAATATTTGAAGGCTCTGAAGCTACATGTGTGCAGGAGGAAAAAATGAAGAGGATGCTAAAAACCTCTGAAAACATCACCCTTCCCTCACATTCCAAGGATACTTTCACATCTTTTTCCTTTTTTGATATGTGAAAGGTCTGAAGGAATTCTTTAATTGTTTCTGTAATGAGAATGGTTTAAAACTGGAGCCATGAAACATATATTGAATTCTGTGATTCAAATCTTTGCAGGATTAGAAGTCTTTAAGCTCATGGAAGTTTATTAAAAATATATAGCTTCATATCATATCATATCACATCATATCATATCATAGAATGGCCTACGCTGGAAGGGACCTTAGAGATCATCTAGTCCAACCTCCCTGTCATGGGCAGGGATGCCACCTCTTGACTAGACCAGGCAACACATGGGGACCAAGCGGGAATCGAACCTGTGACCTCAGTGTTGTCATTGTTGTCAGCACTGCGCTCAAACCACTGAGCTAACCAGCCCCCTACTAACATTCAGAAATTAAAAATAATAAAAATAAGCAGAAAACACTATTTATCATTTTCATACAATTCAAAAATGAGCAAAATTTTAAAAATAATTTACCTTGAAACAAGAATACAACTTTCTCTCTATAGAGTAGGTCGAGCTTGATTTCTGAGCACAAATGACTCAGATACCGTTATGGAAGGGAGCACATGTCACTTATCTTTGCAAAGAGAAGGTTTTTAGGTTTCCTAGACTCCATCATATTGGCTGCTTACGGCATGGATGGACATAGTCCTCACTGGGTGAAAAAGTGGCTGCATGGCCGTCCTCAAAGAGTGGTGGTGGATGGAGTTAAATCCAGCTGGTGGCCAGTCATGAGTGGTGTCCCCAGGGCTCAGTGTTGGGGCCAGTCCTATTTAACATCTTTATCAGTGATCTGAGTGAGGGGATCAAGCGCACCCTCAGTAAGTTTGCAGATGACACCAAGCTAGGCAGTAGTTTTGATTTTCTTGAGGGTAGGAAGGTTCTACAGAGGGACCT